ATAGTCACAGCAGCCCAGGCTCATGACCACCTCATGCAAAGTGAGGGCTGCTGGCTCACAGTGGCTACCACTTGCACTGCGTAGGGCTTCCCCGTATGAGGTGAGGCTTGCCTTGCTTGGGGCTGGGGTCCATCAGGACTTTTCATAATGACCTTAATGGCTAATCTGCCCCTGTAGTCTAGGATTCCTTATTCAGAGTCTTCAGCAAATCAGTTGCCCCATTTTTTTCCCTTTAGTTGATTGGTTATCAAAATTCTCTTTTCTAGGTCAAGATGATTTCTATAAATGTTGCATTCATCTTTTTCATGAACAAATAAATATGTTTGTTAATATATCTTAGTAACATGGTGAAAGGCTGCATTTTCAAACTGAAACCAATAATTTCTCTGTTAACTTTAATATGTAGCAGTTCCAAATGCTGGGACAACAGGACATGAACACCACATATGCAAATAAGAATCATAAGCACCAGTGAGATATTTTCTGTCTGATTAAGTGAAATAACTAACTAGATTTTATTGGGAATATTTTGAGAATATTTTGCTTTTCCGGCAGGCATTTTGATAGGAGCTGCACTTTATTAGCTAAGCCCTGTGCAGACCTAGAGCTAGAAGCTACCTAGAATGGTATCCACCGCTGAACGTGTTCATGAATGCATTTTATTATACTGTACTGTCATTGATATATTAATGGTCTTATGTCATGTTTTATGTATTTTTATTGTGATATATATCTTGTTTTATTGGTTTTATGTAAGCCGCCCTGAGCCTGCTTCAAGCAGATATTTCTATTTTTTCCTGCATATTTTATTTTTGGTTCTTAAATCTGGTAAAGGAGATACAAATAAGCATTGTATTACTGTTTAGTAGACCTTGAGTTGTTTTTCAGTAGTATTTCCAAACCAAGTAAATTTCCAAGTAACTGGCTATTTAAAGATCTTGTTTCTCATTTAGGAGTGGCTTCAACTGTAAATACCTTGGTAAACCAGAGTTTCTTTAGACAATAGCTTATTATGAACAGTGACATATAACTTGATCTGGACAACAGAAAATGCCTCTACATTGAGAGTCATCTACTGCTGTAGGCTGTAGTTTACAACTACTACAGTGTGAGGCTTTGCTTCCTTAGTATCCATAGAATACTTGTACGAAGAGAGAAAGGAAGCACATTGCTCCTGGAATCTAGGAGGACTGAAAGAAGAAGAAAATTTTCCTCTCTGTACATAGTGCTCAGAACTGAAATTCCCTCTCAGGCCACTTCATATGACACAAAATTCAATTGTGTATCTATATATGTGGTAAACACCCTGTGGTGGTTCACCCACCATTTGCGGATATAGTGAATTAGTCTTTATGGAATGATTGCTTAATCTGTGTTGCAAAGGAGAAATGGCTAGGTTTTCAAGTGAGTTCTTGCAGTTCTTAATAATTCAAACTCCACAATGACTGCTTCTCTTAATACATATTTTTGCCCTTAGAAGTAAAAAATTTTTTTGTCCCAGGCGTAAAATTAGAACCAAGACATGCATCAGATAATCTTGGTAATTCTCATCTGGCATAGCTGTCTAACCATTGGCAGCAAAGTAGGGACTGCTCCCGAGAAACCAGCAATTAGAATACTAGTAATGTTAGGAGCCTGGCATAAGGTAGATTGCCAGAGTAGTGTGGGGAAGTCCACAGAACTCTTTCCCACACTCTAGTGCTTGTTGTCTCTTGGTTTTCCTAAATATTTAACCTCATCAACAGAATACATCTACTTTTTTATTTTAATGGCTTTTAGAAATGTTTTGTGCAGCATTTATCTGCCTTAGTTCCAAAACTTCATTGAGTATTAGAGATTTGTACCATTTTGACTATTCTCAAAATGTTTACCTCTGCCTTTGATAGTGCCAAAGTCCAGTGGTGTTAGAATTTCTTTTGCTGCCATGTAATGCTAAAAAGAAAATATTTGTATAATATATGCAAGATAGAAGTCCAAATTATGTTTTGGAATTTCTGTGGCAAAGCAGGAGTGTTTCTGGGATTGTTTCCATTCATGCACAAAGTTTCTGTGAAATGATAGAGTGTATTTTAGAAAATCGGTTGACCTCTGCATCTGAACTTCACCTGATTTGGATAATAACTAGAATACTAAGGTTTCACGCTCCTCAAAGAAGTCTGACCTTTTTGCCCAGCATTGGGTAGGTGTGTGTGTCTGTGTGTGTGCGCGCACAAAGAAAGTTAATGTTGGGAGTATATTTATTTCATACGTCTGGAAATGCTTTAAGGCAGAGTTCTATTAATGGGGATCTTTCATAGTGAGCAGTAATGAGTTGTATACAAAAGTGTGTATATTTGAGGGAAGCGTTTGGAAGTACAAATAGATACTGGTTTAACTCTTATTAGTGCCCATTTTTATTGGGGAGAAATCCTAGGCAGATCTGTTTAAAACAAAGTCCCATATTATTCATTGGGCTTACTCCCTGGAATGTGTCCCTAGGATTACAGTCTTGATTGTCTAAAGTGCTTTACCAAACCTCCTATCCCATTCATCAGCATAGTAACCACATTCTGTAGATTTTTATGAAAGGGAATTTCTTAGGATACATGGTAGTTGACAGTCAATATATTTAGGTCAAGTCTGTAGCCATGTGAGAGCTTTTACTGCTCTTGTGTTTGCCTTACTTGTATCTAATATAGGGTTGCCATCTCTAAACTGGGAAACACCTGCAGATTTTGGGGGTGGAGGCTGGGGAGGTAGGGGTTCGGGGATGGGAAAGGAGCTCAGGAGGGTACAGTGCCATAAAGTCTACCCTCCAAAGCAGGCCTTTTCTCCAAGGGAACTGATCTCTGTCGCCTGGAGATCAGTTCTAATTCTGGGAGCTCTCCAGACCCTACTTGGAGGTTGGCAACTCTAATTTAAAACTAAAGAATCCTACTGATAGGGTAGACTTTGATGTAAAAGTGAAGAATGGGTCTTATCAAAGAAAAGCTTGAATTCAGTGGGACATGTATTATTTCTGTCATTTTTTTTCTGTTATGTGTAACTTTGCCCACACTTGAGATAGGAAGCAAAAATGCAAACAGAACTCTTGGCAGACATAAAAATGGATTCCCTCAACGCCAGTATAACAGTACCCCCCCCATCTAAAATAACTAAATGAATGGTCTGCTCAGGCTTTTAGTAAGTAAATATAAATTGAGCTGCAGCCCTGTCTCCATTAGGTAATATTAATTGAAAGCAAGCTGAATATCTGCCCTAGCATAAGAAATATAGTAACAGTTCTTTGATATTTTTCAGCAGTCCCACAGTTGAGTACTGTTCCCATAAAGTGCATCTGTGGTACCTTCTAGAGCTTTCTCCTCCCCTACAGTAGAACAGTTTGTTCTTTATGCCCCTGTGTTGTGGAGCTCAACTCTCTTCTGACAACCATGAAAGCAGCGGCACAGGTAATGTTCCACAAGAGACTTCCATCTCTGAACTTTCTTGCTTTATTCACAAAGCAAATGTTGAATGGTTACATGGGCTCAATCTCTACTTATTGCCTCTGCTTTGTGGCTTCCTCTTCAGTTTGCTAGGTGTAGAAGTGAAGGCCTGATTACTGGAAAATTTATGCTTTTCCAGTTATTATTTCCTCTCACCCTGGGTATTCAAACATCTTTCTCTTGGTGTTTCTAGGAGATCCCACAGGAGATCCTTAAGTCCACTGGCTCAGCTTTACCTCCCATGTAAGGTGAGGGAAGAGCAGGGAAGAATTATGTGATCCTCAGGTCATTCTGCTTCACATAGAGCTTAAAGGAAGGTGGGAATTCCATCCTTGTCATGTACAGGTCTCTCTCTCTCTCTCTCTCTCTCTCTCTCTCTCTATCGTGGGAACTCTACATTCCACATTCCTTTGTGTACTAGAGGTGACATGCCTGTTTGTTTACACAATCATTTATCCCAGAATGAAACAGGTGAGTCAAGAGTCCTTTATTGTGCCAGGGGCTTTTGACTGTCAACTCACATTATCCTCTGAAATCATCCCTTGGATCTACTTGGAACATTTGAAATTAAGCAAGATGTCATTCATTTGAAAATATTTGATTTATGTGAACAGGACCAGATAGTGATGCAGGAAAGTATTCTACATTGCATACCAGTAATTTAGTTCAGCCTGACTTCTCGAATCATCATACACAAAGTAAAGTATGATGTAGTAAAGTTGGGAAGTACAGTTGGGAGACAGTGGTTTGGCTAGGGGGAAGAAGGTTAAAACAACATTTATAATCATGACATAGTTTATGGATGGCTCTAGACCATGGGTCCTCAATGTGGTGCCCACCAACTATGTTTAGAGAGTGGGTGGGGCCACTGGAGCTTTTGCTCAGCAAGCCTTCGGATTAGCCATTGGAAATCTGATTAACTGTACAGATTTTTTTTAAAAGTTGTTTTGGCAGCAGTTGTCACCACAACACAAGGATCTTCACTGCATGACTGAAGTTAAGCTGTGGGTACACAAGAAAGTATTTTTAAAAAACAATATCTTCCATTTAAAAGGCATCCTGTTAAAGACAGCTTCTGCCTGAAATGTTGAAGTGTTACTATCAGAGTTGTTTATGACCTTCCTGCCATTTCATGGTTGGGTCTGCCTCCTGTGGCAGCCATTTTGAGATTGTACCCACCACCCTGTGTCAGAATTCCAAAGGTGTCCATAGGCTCAAAAGGGCTGGGGACCCCTTCTGAAGACTGTTGGTCTCTTTTAGAATGCTGAGTCTTCATTGCGGACTTTTAGATTCATGGATTTCCTGGACTTTCCACTAGTTGACAACCATATTTGAATTTCTGTCGAGCTAAAGGAGCAAGAGTGCATGCCAGTTTTGTAGTGGAGATTTAAAAACTGAGCTCACTGTTCGCAGCATTGCACAAAACAATGTCTTACACTGCTGGCACTTGCCCTTCTCCAGTTAAACTAATGAAGCTTATTTTTCTGATTCCTGGGTTCATAATCTCTGCACATATACATTTTGCATTGTACGTACCTCTCCCATGGGTTTTTCATAGATATCATCCTGCCATAGTGTAGCCTTGGCTTGAATAGCATCCCGTTGAAGTGCCTCGAGGACCTTTTTTGGAGTAACAAAGCCATACTGTGCTTCGAGTAAAGCCAGATTAATTTTTTCAGCCTTCAGAACTCCTATGACTTCATCCTGAGCCTACAGAAACACAGATTACTCCAGTTAGGTTAATTCTGTGCATTGCTCATTGAATTTATTTCTTGCACATGACATGTTTCTTAAGGGCAGCTCTTCATGTGAGTGGCCTTTTACTCTTGACTGGTTCTTGTTTATGTTCATGTGGCAAATGCCATGAATGCCTGGAAAAGGAAAATATTGCCATAAAATAAGGGCAGTGTCTGATGGTTTATTCCCTTACCCCTCTATCTTACTCCCCTGCATGCTTTACCCCTGCTTCCATCCCTTCAGATTCAGCTCATCCCATAGGGTTGCCAAGTCTGGGTTGGAAAATACCTGGAGACTTTGGGGGTGGAGCCAGGAGAGGGCATGGTTTGGGGAGGAGAGGGGCCTCAACATAATACAATGCCATAGAGTCCACCCTTCAAAGCATCCATTTTCTCCAGGGGAGCTAATCTCTGTTGGCTGGGGATCAGTTGTAAAAGCGGGAGATCCCCAGGCCCCACCTGGAGGCTGGCAACCCTATCATCCCACCATGAGCAAAATGGTGTCAGTAGGCATGGAAAGGGAGCTGCGGTGGCTCAAGTGGTTAAGACGTTGAACTGCAGGCTGTGGAAGGTCAGTAGTTCAGCAGTTCGAGACCTGGGCGCCGCAAGACGGAGTGAGCTCCCATCTCTAGTTCCAGCTCCTGCCAACCTAGCAGTTTGAAAGCAAGAAATTGCAAGTAGATAAATAGGTACCACTTTGGTGGGAAGGTAACAGCATTCCGTGCGCCTTGGTGTTTAATCATGCCAGCCACATGACCACGGAAACGTCTTCGGACAGCGCTGACTCTTCGGCTTTGAAACGGAGATGAGCACCGCAACCCTAGAGTTGGATTTGACTGGCTTTCGAGCAAGGGAACCTTTACCTTTTTTTTTAAGCATGGAAATGTGGCTATAGATGACTGAATACCACCACAAATTTTGCCCTACATTAATTTACCAATTTCTAAGCTAATGTAGGGTGGGACACGTTATGTATGTTGTTGTGTTTTTTGGGGTGGTGATATGCTGTAAGGGAAAAAAATCTTAAAGATATTGGCAGCTGTTTTTAGATTTTCAGGTCATTCATACCTCCTGTGGGAAACTCAGGAGCAGGAGTACAAAGTCACCCTTTGTTGTTTTAAATCAAGCCAGAAGCTGTCTGTTACTATTGTTACATATACGTGTTTGTGCACTGAAGCTGTTGAGGTACCCAGTGCAGAGGATGTGGCCTTCCGTAACATGCATTCCAATAGCATGCAATAATGGCAGCTCTCTAAAACAAGATTAATTGGCTCAAAAGTTGGCAGAGTGACTCGTGTGTGTTTGTGATTACTTATACAATGCATACTCCATGCACATGGCCAAGATTTTTCAACAATAATTAATGATGCTAAAGATACTGGATTTCAGGTGACACAATTTGGATCTTGCAAGGATCAGAAGAAGCAGACTCTTAACTAGTTGTGTAATTTAAATGTCACCTTTAACAATCTATATCTTTTACATGTTTAGTTCAGTTCTTTATTGTTACAGTCATTTGACCAAACATATAATCAGTTTTACAGTTTACACAGTAAGCAACATTTATAGGTTTTACATGCTCTCATGCAAGCAAATGGAGATGTGCACCGTTACAGCTAAAGCCAGGGTTTTTAAATCCCATAGATTTTAATGAAATTTACAATTACTGTTAAATAGTTGTCAGATCATTAAATTGGAGAGACACCTGCCTGCATCTGTGGAGAACCCAGAATTTCAATTGCCATGTGCTTTGTGACAACATAAGTTAAATTTCCTGCTTTTTTCAATTATTGTACTCTTCGTTATAGTGACTGAATTAGAAGAAATAATTGTCTGGCAGCATTGAGGGGAAACATAAGTAAAGACTGCTGGACAAAACCAATTGTCCATCTAGTTCAGCATCCTGTTTCACACAGTAGCCAACCAGTTGCCCTGGAGGACTACAAACGGAACATAGAGATCAAGGCTTTCCTCTTTTGTGCTGCCTCCTAGCACTGGTATTCAGAGGTTTGCTGCCTCTATATAGAAGTTCCCTTTATCACCATAGTTAGTATCCATTGAAGGACTTAAAAACACCTATATACGTAGCCATCACTACATCCTCTGTGTTTCACAGTAAAAAAGTGTTTTTGATGAAGTTCCTCATCAAAGCTTTTGATAAACCTTTTGATGAAGTTCCTCATCAAAGGTGCCTAAGTGAACTCTGCAGTTATGGAATAAGAGGACAAATCCTCTTGTGGATTAAAAACTAGTGATAAGTTTTCACAGTGGAAGGTGGTAAGCTGTGGGATACTGCAGGGCTCAGTATTAGCTCCGGTGCTTTTTATCTTGTTCGTTAGTGATTTGGAATTGAGAGTAAGCAGTGAAGTGGCTGAATTTGTGGATGACACTAAGTTGTTCTGGGCGGTGAGAACCAGGAAGGACTGTGAGGCTTTCCAGAAGGATCTGTTGAAACTGGGTGAGTGGGTGTCAACGTGGCAAATGAGGTTCAACATGGGCAAGTGCAAAGTAATGCATATTGGAGCCAAAAATGCTAACTATAAATGTATATTCACAGGGTCTGAACTGGCAGTAACTGACCAGGAGAGAGATTTTGGAGTTGTGGTAGAGAACTCCCTAGAAATGTCAACTCAGTATGCAAGTGGGTTTTGGCCACTGTGTGGCACAGAGTGTTGGATTGGATGGGCCATTGGCCTTATCCAACATGGCTTCTCTTATGTTCTCATGTTTCCTTTTGTCTGTCCTGCACAATATTGTCCATCACTTCATTGGGTGCCCCCAAGTTCTATTATTGTGGGAGAGATAGAAAAAAAGTTAACTATGGGGAATTTCACATTACCTAGTTTCTCCCAGTTTCAAGCCGGGAGTCTTCCGATACGAGTTGAACCGGTACAGGGCTGCCGTTTCACACACAGCATGCCCCTACCGGAAATCAGCCGATTTGGAAGCAGTTTGGCGTTTCACACACACATGCACCGCTTTGTTTTCCCACCTTTTTTCGCCCGCGCGGGCTTTTTTTTAAAAAAAAGGTTCGGCTTATAGCGATATATCGATATATCGCTATACCAGAACCTCAAATGGTCGGAATAACGATCCCATTGGAATCCGACTCCTTGGAGGTTCCAGTATATCGATATAAGCCGAACGTTCAAAAAGAAAAAAAAAGCCCGCGTGGGCGAAAAAAGGCGGGAAAGAACCGTAGCAGAACCGGGAGAGGGAACGGGAGACTAATCTCAAGTGGTTTACAGTTAAAACGCTTCAGTCCCGGTTCCTATACGGAACAGAGACTTTTGTGTGTGAAATGGCAGTCAGATCCCGGTAGGGAACCGATTCTCAACCGGGTTCTGTCTGAAATGACAGACCAGAACCCGGTTGAGAATCGGTTCCCTACCGGGAGATATCGCCTGTCTGATATTCCCCTATGTGTAACTTTATAAATCTCTATCATGTCTCCCTTTAGTTACCTTAAAAAGTACAGAATCAAGCCAGGAATCATTCTGGGATGGGATGGGAATGCTCATATATTAACTACCATAAAATGAAAGCTGGTTCCAGTAAGATTTTTATTTCTCCTATTGAGGTTTGTCTGTTATATAAAAAAAAGTGTTAGTATTTGCACTGATACAAAAACCAGGTGAGAAAATTGTAAGAATCTGAATTAAAAGAACAATCAAGATTAAGAAACGGCTGAGCTTAGTTTTGTAACAAATACCAAGAGCTTCCAGGGTGCATATGGGGTATTTCTGGATTTTTAAGTGCAGTATAGGTGGGTGGGGCATGGAAACACAAGGATAGCTTGATACAGGGGTCGTTTCGTAGAAAAAGAGCCAGGGGGACTCATTAGCATAACTCATTAGCATATGCCACACCCCCTGACATCACCGGAAGTGTGTCATAAGGCCACACACCACACCTCCAATGGTCCCGGCTGCCGCCGGCCTTGAAGCTCCACTGCCGAGCCCCATGAGGGGCCCGACGGTGGACCTGCAAGGCTGGCGGGAGTGCAAGGAAGCCCCGCGAAGGCCCTCCCTGGCCCCAGGCAGGCAGGGGTGGGGAGAGGCAGGGAGGAAGCAACTTACTCTCCCTCTTCTCCTGCCTCCTCCTGGCTGAATGAGGGCCGAAAGTGGGGCGGCCAGAAGCAGGGGGCGGGGCTTCGTCATGTGCCCCGCCCCCCCGTACCTCACCCGGGGGAACTGTGATCCCCTGCGATCCCCCCCGAAATGACCTCTGGCTTGATATATCAGTTTTGAATTTTTCATAGATAAATACAGTGAAATGGATAAACAAGTAGTTTGGGAGAAGTGCATGTTTGTATCGCCTGTCTTATCAAATATTAAATTATATAACATTAGTAATTTCCAAAGTATAGAAGTAATACCATCCATATTCAACCTCTGTGTATGTGTGTATCATACAGATTTTATTCACTGATATTTCAACAGTCCAAATCTGCAAACTACTTGAAGCTGCCATTATTTTTTAAATTAAAATCAGCCTCTTGCAGATATCTTTTTTTCTCTTTACTGATGTACATAATTTTACACTTACTTTCAGACAACATTTGAATGATGCAGAGAGCAGGCAACAGTGAGTTCTCTATGTTAACAACTTAGGCCCCGGTCACACGAGAGGTTTTGGGCCGGGAGAGGGACGGATCGGGGCCGCAGCAAATGGGCGTGATCCCACCGCAACATCTGGGAAGCGTTGCGCGCTCATTCCCGATCCGGCCCTTCCGCCCCAAACCCCGCAGCAAAAATGAACCACCTACCATGGTGATTCGTCCGGGAAGGCCGCATCAAAGCCGGCCGTGGGATCGCCGGCGCGTCCTTCCGCCGGCGCATCCCCAGCGCCTGGTCGAACTGCGCATGCTCACACATGCGCAGTTCGGCAGGCTCCCCCTCCCGACGGTAGCTTCCTCCCTGGCATCTGATCGTGCCGGAGAGCAACGGCGCCGCGGCTCAGGGGATGCGTGGGATCCTGCCGCGGCGTCTTGACTTTGGTGCGGCTCTGATTTGCCGCACTTTGGCCGATGTTTTTCCTGCTGTGTGGCAGGGACCTTAGAATACTTGATTAACAATTCAGGATCTCTGGATTTTAAGAAACTTGCAAGGCATGTGGTAAGATACTTTAAAAGACTTTCATTGTTCTTTCAAAGCTCAGTATGGCTTGTATTGAGCCATGGACCACCTCTGGAAGGAATAAAAAGTAATGACAGTCTTTTCAATTAATCAGTCAATCTGAAGCCTTCCAACTGAGTCTTCTGCAACATGTTGCACAAGGATACATCAGTGCAATACGGGGTGGTGTTCTTGTGGTTCTGTACTGGAATGACCTGCCTAATTTTATTTCACTGGACTCAAATCACTCATCCCATGATCTCTCTTTGGTTACTCTAATTTTATTTTATGGCTTTAGAATAACATGATCACTTAAACTGGTACCAGTAGACTTTGATGTCCTGTGTTACGTATTGCACTTTAATATAGTGAGCTTGTTATTAACATCCCCTTTTTAGTATGATTTGGCATAGGTATGGTGTAAGATTTCTTCATTTATATCTAAGAATCCTGTAAGGTACATCTATATTAGCACCCCCAAATTGCTTACGCGATGAATAGGGGAATTCCTGGATTTCTACTTGGTTTCTTAGGGCCAAACTAAACAATACTTTAGAGCAGGGGTGGCCAAACTTGCTTAACGTAACAGCCACATAGAATAAACATGAGATGTTTGAGAGCCACAAGACATGAACAAATATCACACACACATTTTTATTGAAAAACATGCAAATTTGCTTTTTATTAACATTAAATTAGACTGTCTGAAAGAGCCACATGCGGCTCCCGAACTGCAGTTTGGCCACTCCTGCTTTAGAGAATCATGATTGGAGTGCTAACCACAAGGGTAGGAACAGGCTCCCACTCCAATCTCATCTTGTTTGGTGGCTGCATTTAAGGCTAAGCTGTGCATCGGGGAATGTGATTGTGCAATCCCAATATAACATGCAGTTTGGTCCTTAGCCACCATGTTACAGTTGTTCTTAGTTGTTAATATTAATAGATTAATATTTTCAGTTTGGTGTAGGGTTAAGTGCGCGGACTCTAATCTGGGAGAACCGGGTTTGATTCCCCACTCCTCCACTTGGATGACCTTGGGCAAGCCATAGTTCTGTCAGAGCTGTTCTTGAAAGAGCAGATCTCAAAAGAGCTCTCAGCCTCACTTACCTCACAGGGTGCGTGTTGTGGGGAGGGGAAGGGAAGGGAAAGGAGTTTGTAAGCCACTCTAAGGAAGGGAAAGGAGTTTGTAAGCCACTCTAAGACTCCGAGTGAAGGCTGGGGTATAAATCTTCTTTTTCATGCTTCTTTTCATTTTACCTTTGTGGCAGCACCAGCTATGATTATAATAATACCAGAAATATACTCACCTGTAATTCACCTTCGAGCACACTCAAAAGAAATAAAAGGTCATCTCGAGAAAGGTCTTCTCCCTTTTTGGAATAGTTTCTCTGCTTCTTATGTAATTTTGGGCTTCCTAGAATAGGGTCTGGTTCAGCTGTACAATCTTTTTCTGTTTGTTTCCTCTTCATTTTTACTCTCCCAGTGCAAGGGATATCTTCTACTTGGGTGCTGCTGAGCATTTTTTTACAGTGTTTTGACTTGGAACAATTATCTGTGCTGTTACTTCTGGAATGCATTTCCAAATACCTGGTGAGGGAAGATAAAAAAGTAAATGGTCAAAAGAACAGCCTTGTGGGTTAATGCAAGGCTGAATGTGCCTTGGATCTGGTGTCTCATATTAATGAGGCTGACTCAAGACACTTTTTCTGATGCCTGTGAAGTGACGTGCATACAGCAACCCTTTGGAATAAATCTGTAGCGCAGTTCTTACATTGTCCATGGTTGTTGCTGCAATCAGGCCACTTAACTTCGGGTATATTAAAAAGTAGGCATTTAATTTGATCATAAACCTTATTAACAGGTTCCAGCAATTTCTTGTAGCCCACTGGTGGTGGTATCCTGTAACGTTTCTTACTTTCTAAGCCATACATCGGATTCAAAGAGCATGAGTGGAAAGAACTTAGCTGCTGGCACTGTTTCACATATGTAGTGGTGTGATACAGGCCTAGCACTAAGAATCAGCATCCTAGTTTCCAAAGCCCCCCCCCCGCCCCTCCAGGAGGGCCTGTTGTTTCCCCTGACAGGGTACTTTTCCATGACCCACTTAGCCCCAGGCCTCTTGCCCTTCTATTTGTAAGCAGTAGAATAATAGCGAGGGTTGGAAGATTTCCCTCCACACACACCAATTTCACTCCATCCTTGCTACTGTTCTTTCTCTTCTTTCCCCCATCAACCAGGGTGAAAGATTTCAACTGCTGCTTCTTGCCACTGGCTGCTTGCTTGTGACTAAGAGAATGAATGATTAGTGGCAGCAACCAGCATCTTCCACCAACAAGGAAGGAAGGCTGACTGGAGTGGATCAGATCATAGGGACCACATTCCTCCAGTCTTGTTCCATCTACCTTGGCTCCCAGTTTGCTTCTGAGCCCATTTCAAGTTGCTGGTATTGATCTTTAAAGCCCTGTATACCTTGGGGCCAGCATACCTGAAGGACTGCCACTTTGGTGTGTAGTGGTTAAGTGTGCGGACTCTAATCTGGGAGAACCGGGTTTGATTCCCCACTCCTCCACTTGCACCTGCTGGATGATCTTGGGGTGTAAATCCAATCTCCTCTTCTCTTCTTCTACTCCCATAAAAAGCTACCCGGCAACTCTGGTCATCTTCAGAGGCCCTGCTTTGAGTCCTGCCATCTGAGACTAGATGGATGGCAACCTGAGAAACTACTTTCTGTCATAGCACCAAAACTTTTGAACTCCCTATCCAGGGAGATTTATCTCTCTCTATGGTTGTCTTCTGCCAGCAAGTGAAGATTTTTGTTTTGTTTTGTTTGGCGTTCCCTCACTAATGCTCATTAGTCCTCCTTCATGTTGTGAATTTATTGGTGTTTATATGCTTTATTTAATTGCTTTACATTTTGTGTATATATTTGTACTTTAAATACATCTTAATGTTTTGAAATGTCTTAATGTTACCCCCTTGGGGACCCTGAATTGGGTGGAAAGCCAGTGTAGAAATGTTTTTAAATAAGGCATTTGCAACTGAATATGTGGCAAAGAACAGATCCCTGCCCTGGACACTGCCTTCTAGAGTGGGGGATCAGCTTGGCTATATATCTGATGCTTGCCACAGCCACCTGGGCCCTTGTAGTGGCCACTGAGGTGATTCCTTCCATTTCCTACTGAGGTAGATGTATGGAGGAAGGATTGGAATGCAATTCTTTCAAACTCCTTTTAAGTCTTGCCAGTTTGGCATGACTAAAAAAAGCGAGAAAGAATTGCATTCTCCTGCTTCACTAGTAGTCCTGCTGGTGGAAATTGTGTCAGAAGCCCCTGTGTGTTATAGTGGCCCCTGGATCGATCTCCCATTTCCTGTGAGAAGAGCACTTGGGAAAGCAGAGGAAGACAAATCTGTAATGAACCTTTTAGCCCTACTTTCACACTGTATGTTCAGAATGTACTTGTCTAAGCACCTTTTCCAGTTTTCAATGGCTTGTTTTTAGGATCTTTTTCTTTTCTTTTCTGGGCGATTAAAAATATGCTTCTTTAAATTAGTCGATGAAATTTAATTTTGCTAGAGGAACAGAACAAATGAAGTGTTAAAAACATAGCTCCATAGGATAGGATCTAGGTCTATGAGCCTGAAGGGGTCAGGATTTTGTCTACTGTTTTGTCTCTGCTGCCCTGCTGGAGGTTTACTTTAGTGTGATTAGAAAATGGATATTATAAGATTAAAGATCTGTGAAGAAAGAAAATATTTTCAAAATGTGGACCTGAGTTCTTCTAAAATCTGTTTCAGAATATTCCTAGCAATATTTCCTTACAGAATTTTTCAGAAGGCTAGGATGACAGCTATCTCTCATATTACTCTCATATTAACCATAAAACACGTATGGAATGTAGGTTTTGGGGGAAAGTATATATACTTTAAACATCTGGATTAAACAGTTAGGATGTAGCCTGAATTAAATAGGGTGCAATTATGTTATTCTATCAGTGGAAGGTGGTTTGTAATAGTGGGGAATATAATATGACTGCCTAGCATGCTGATGAATACTTACACAAAGTATTATGTTAAACACTGAAGAAAAATATTTGCCTCTTAACCTGCTCTTTGTACTGTCCCCCCCCCCCTTAACCTGCTCTTTGTACTGTTGGTTGATTTTGGTTTGGGGGACAACTGCATCTTTACCGTAAGTCAATGATTTGCCCACAGGAAGCTTCAAGGAAAAAGTTGTTGCTGCCTTGCAAGCAAATCAGTGAAATCTGGCAAATCCCCCCCCCGACCGATATCATCCTTTCCCCATTGTGAAATTTCTGCCCTGGTCCTCCAACCAGGCTGTAGCTACTCACCCATAACTGGGAAAACAGTATGATACTTGAGCATCATAGCATGCTTGACAATTAAATAAGATTTTGGCTCTGTTCATACTGCATAGCAGTTTTCTGTAATGCTCTGAGCTTTGCCACAGTGGTCCTTGAAGGAGATAGAAAAGGCATAATGTCCAGCTTTCCGTGTATGCGAGAGGTAATATATATAGCTTTTAAAAATAAAATAAAGGCATTGGATGCCTTTCCACTGATATTGAACAGTATACGGTGTGTGTGTTTATCCCATCAGTGTTTCTCATAGCCTTTTAAGAGGTGTCCCTGCAGAACCGCCAAACTGTTAAGCTCCCTCAAATTACAAAAATAGCGCAAGTTAAAAATGCATTTCCCCCCTGTTGAAAATAACTTTGGTGTTGGCATGCTGTTTCCCCTTTTAAAAAACTCTCTCCTTAAATTGGTTTTGATCTCAGGGGAGTTTAAATTGTTGTCCCGTGTTCCCTCAAAGAATAACTTGAAAAATTCAGAAGTGCATGTAGAAGAGTATATTGTGCTCAACCTCCAGTTTCTAGATGAGGATTTGAGGTTTCTAATTTTCAATTATGCTATTAGCATCCTGCAGGTCTTATTTAGGAATTTAATGAATGGAAAACCTTGCCTACATGATAGTATTCCATAAAATGAAGGCAATACTGTGTTCTTGTGGGATATCTGTTGGAAAGGAAACAAATCTTGAGTAAAGTTCCATCCTAAAGTTGATTGACAAAGGTTCTATATAGCTTCTATTAAGAGTCAGATTTATATGAGGTTTGTAATAGTATTTGTAAGATTATGTAGGTTCCTTTGCAAGTCTGCTTATCCTCAAGTTGTAAATCACATGTGATCCAGGTAGTTTCTACAGGTATGTGCTCATAATCCATATGTTTGCCACAGTGATTTCTGACAACTTTCAGTGTCCTATTGAACATTAAATTATGTATTGGTTTGTTAAATCTTCCTCAGAATTGTCAGTTATTTATGATAATTCTATGATAGAGTAATTTTTAAATGCAAGAAACATCTATATCAGTTTGGAAGGACCAAAAATTACTCAATTTACTCATTTGAAAGAACAGCTTGCACAAATGGCTGTGTTTCTGGTGTTAATTACAGCTTACTGTTATAATCGACTTTTCATATCAAGTGACGCTATATTGTATATTTAGTAGAAAGAGAACAACCCAGGGTTTTGTAGTGGGAAAGATGGAGGGACCCTTCAGATATTATTAGTGGTGCTAGAAAGTAAAAGCAATACCAGAGCCTTCTCTTTTTTTACAGTACTGGGTCCTTAAGCACTTTCTTACATAGGAAAGTAATTGGTTTATGAACCTTTGAAATTTCTCAAGGCAGCATATATGAATATAGTGGTATAGAAAACTGAAACATGTCTTGACACCTATGTCAGTAAATTCTAACTCAGAAAGGAATTGTCTTCTGTATCTCTTGCTTAAATGCACCCTGCCTGTTTTTGATATTGGAAAGCATGTCATCCTTTTGAAAAGAGGTGTTGTGGTGTTCATTAATGCAGCTTTTATCACAGTAGTCTGCCATTAGATGTGTGGGCTTGGTTTGGGGCATATCTGGACTTCTGTAAAGAAATTGTTAATATATAGCCACATTAGGATATGCCTCCAGTTATGGCAAACTTAAAGGTGATTTTATTTAATTGGAAGTAGAAGTAGTTATAGAAATAGCTTGGTATGATACCAAGATTTATCCTGGCTGTCCCTGAACTTGGTGATTCCTGTCTTTGCATCCCCTTTCTCTTCAGTATTATTAATGCTTTGAGGACATGAATGAAAGCTGTGGTGGACATATTGACCCTCCTCCAAAGGGATGTTTTATATTACACTGAATTTGGATGACTAATGCATCAGGCAGCTGGTTTTGTGGCCTGTTTTGGTTTAGGAGAGGGTGTAAAGTGGTAAAAAACACTGGTGCTTCTATGAAGCACGTAATTGATTCTTTAGAACCTCAGCATTCTTGTTTTTTAAAAAAGCAGACCTCTATTTCTTCGGATTCCTTTATAGTTTAATATTTTTCGTTATTTAGGGTAAGTGCATTTCAGAATATTCTTCACGTGTTTCTAATTCTCCCCATGCTGCTGGCTAAAGTAGTGTGCGCTAAAGTTTGGTAGAAAGTATTCCTTTGCAAATTATTTCCTTTGTATTTCCTTACCAAATTAGAGGTAGAATGGAGTCTCACAGTTGTTCATTTCATGTTATG